CCGAGACGCTGTTTAAATATTACTTCATGCCAGCACTGAACGTGCTGGCATCCACAAAACTGAGTATAGAAAAGTGTTACTCTTCAGGGCATTGTATAGATTATACTATTATTTTTATATATATTAAAAATCTTTAATCAAACAGATACAGTAGATTATTCAATTAAGTTTGACGTTCGATATGAAAAACACGATTTTACAGTTTGCAATACATTTTTTTATTCAAAATATTCTCCCTCGACAATACACTTGTTTCATCAATTTTCTGATTTATGAATTGCATCGCTTAAGTCAAGGAGACAGTCAAAATACGCTTCCACGACTGATTCTTCTTAGTTTTGGTGCTAAATCTGGCGAACAAGGAGGCTATAGGCTGTTATTTACTGATATTTGCGATAATTTTTTTGAGCTGTATGCGATTGTGTTGTCATGATGAAAACTATGATGATAATTATTTTTTTTATAAAACAATTCTTTTTGGCAAATTTTTATATCCAGCTAATCAAAAAGGTGATAATGATACTATGTTATCATTAGTAGGTAGCATCTTTTATCGAACGCCAAACTTATTGAATGACCTAGTATATAAATTTAACGGATAGTCCATTATTAATAACAATGTCGCCAAAATATGCTTTGAATTGAAACTAGATACCCAGTTAATCGATGCTGTAAAATGTGAGGGATGAAAATTTATAGGTGTTGATGATGGTATCCTACAGTTGAGGGTTAGTCCATGACAATTGACAGATGACGTCATAGCAGGTACTTTTAGTCGGTATATTTACAAATATTTCAGTTATTTGTTTTATCTAAATTTTTCTTTAACACTTTCACTGCAAACTTTAAATTGCGGAATTTGTCAGGAGCGGTAAGTTTTTAGGTGGTTAACGTCAGAACTCCATTTTTGTGTGACACAAAAAAACATGATGACGCTTATGTGTTTTTGAAGCGTGACTCCGATCGGCGTCATGCGCACCTTGTTAAAAATTCCTTGCTCAATGCTCAGCAGCTCAGCGACGCCGATCGGAATCACATATATTTTAGCATATTTCAAGAGAAATACGAGTACTAAGTGCTAAGTATGGGATATACCTACCTGTCCGCTGTTAGATAAAGACATAAAAAGCAAAGATATGAACAAAATATGAATGTGTTGCTTGTGTGAGTCCATTTCAAATAGGTAAAGAAATAATAAATAAGACTTACTCACAATCAATTTAATTTAACTATCAGACGACCGTTTCGCTTTCTACAATATGCAAAGCATCTTCAGGTCTCGATACAAAGTTAAACAAATGCTGAAATGATAAAAACCCATATTAGGGTGTTGTCTAATAAAGATAAACAAATTAGATGTTATAAATTACAATAATTATGCCAATATTACATGTCTGTGGTTTTATTTAAATGAGTAAGTTGAATAAAAGGTATAAAATTTTTTAAAAAGGTTAAACAGACAAGGTAAGGCCCACAAATTGTTATTTTTTATAATAATTTGTGGGCCTTACCTTGTCTGTTTAACCTTTTTAAAAAAATTTCCAATACTTAGGAATGAAGATCTGACGTAAATGGGGTTGGATCAAGCAGGCAAACGACAACAAAGCTGGTGGGACATCCTATATACCAATCCTCAAAAACTCCACCTGTCTCCGGTACACTGTACAAATCCTCCGATGACTACTCTGTCCAAACTGCATTTAATGTAAAGAGTATTATATTGACTGGTCTTAAGGCAGAACACAAAAAAATTGAAACGACTTTCGGTTCAAAGTCGCCTAAACACGTCTTCTCAGTTTAACTTCCCTAGCTTGACTAACTTCTGCGTTACATTCTACAAATTCGACGCCAAAATCAATTTCTCTTCGCGTCTTGCAGCTAGTTTTGCCTACAAACTTAAACAAACAAATACCTCCGACAAGTGTTCATAACAACCTTGAAATATCCCCAGCTTATTGCGTTTAAAAAAAAAACTTGTACGAATTGGATAATTTTGAATGTACACAAATCGTTTTTAACTACAGAAACATCTTGAAATATATACTTTTAAATTGGGTAAAAATAACACGTAGTTTATTGATTATTTTAACCGGAATAATTTTCTACCTGACAATGTAACAGAAACAAAAACATCTAATATTTCCTGTGTTATTACGTATTTAGGAATCGTAACTTAAAAATGCCATAACATATTGATCGTTTTAAAATTCCTTAATAAAAAAAAACAAACACAGATTTTTTGGTAATTTTACGCTTATTGACGAGATAAACAACCAGGGGCGTACTACAAAAATTTAAAACAGAATCTATAGAAATTAAATATAAAACGCTACAATGTAAGTGCTAGTATGAAGAAAAGAAACAAGTGAAAGTGTGTTTAAAAGATACGAGGTACTTCTAACTGAAGAACAAGGCTTGAAGCTCAATGCCAAATAGAATTGCAGCATCTTCTGTGGTATCTAGTACCAATATAATCATTAATATTTGTAGTACAACATGGACATATAGTAAATTCTTTACAAATTCAGTGTTGAGCCCAGTTTAAGATCACATATTATTAATTATATAATTTAGTAGAATATATTCATATTTTTAAAAGACTAATTATTATATTTTACAGAGAATATATAGAATTTTTATATTATTTATAATTGTAAAACGTATTGTTGATGTTAGTGCCAAAAGTAAAATCTTGTATCTTCCGAAATTACTAGTTTTTTAATTTACCTTTAAGAATCAGAAGAAAAAAAAAGTGTAAATGACACTGAGCAAGCAGGTCTTGTAAAAGGTACTCGAGAACAAATTGTGAACTTGTGACAACTTGTCGAAAAATCTAGAGAATTTCTGGTACCAATGACAACATGCTTCGTGGGCTATCAAAAAATATTTGATGGCATTAATTGGCAAAATCTTTGTGCTATCCTTATAAATATGGGCGGACCAATACACCTAGTTCATAAATTAGCCTGTATTTGTCCACTGCTGAACATAGGCCTCCAGTAACCTTTTTCACATAATTCTATCTTGAGCTTCTTGCATCCAATTTATGGTGTTCTCTTTCAAATTCATTTATTGATGTAAGTTTGCCAATAGCCTAACACAAGTCAAAAATAAAACAGAACAGTAGTTCTATTAATAAATCTTAAATTCTAGTTAAATAAAAGTAGAATTTCTTTAATTTTACTTTTAAATTGAATTGTGAGAAGATCCTTTTAAGTTATTAGGTAATTTGTTAACAGAGTAATAAACAATTAGAATGCCCACTCAGCTTGAAAAAATAAGTACGCGCAGACGGAATCAGCCATGTTTTAAACGGAACCAGTGCTGTTCAGTGACTTTTATCTGGTGTGCATAGACAAATTAACCCGGTTTAATTTATTTACCGCAACGACAGACATAACATGCACTATTTTATTATTATTTCAAATACTACTAAATTATTAATCTCTAAAAGTTTAAATTGCAGACCTGTCGTAGCTTGTCACAAATTTCTCAATTCGAGTCTATGTTTCTGTCTAAAACATGGTTCACATGCTGGCAAACTTCAAAGGCGGCATCTGAGAGTGGGATTCTGATTGTTTTTTATTCTGTGGCTAGTCACTAAAAAAGCCATGCCCCGTAAGAACTATGTGAAGAAGTAGTTAGTCTCCCCATGGTTGTGTTCTACCCAGTCTGTCACATCCGATAGAGTGTTAGTTTCCCCATTCTTCTTGCCATTTCGCGTTCATCACCCCTCTCTCTTCTGCTTTGTCGGTTTCACTCATACCGTTCGTGATTGCTCTTTCTCTCATTAGTAGGTGAATTGGTGGTACCCCTGCTATCACTTGTAACGCAACTCTCAAAGTTGTCTTATATACACAGATGACCTCTGCGCTTTATCCTGAATTCGTCTGTATTTTGTTTATGCATTATCTGCAGCATATAGTATGGTGGAATGGACCACTTTCTTAAGAATAAATTCTCCTTCTACCTGTCTCCGGACCTATTATATTTAGCATGATCTTTGTTAGCGCTGCTACTCTTTGATCAGCCTCCAGTAGGCTGGATCAAGATCACACCTGTGCCTTGTTCACAAGGCTCTCAAAAGGGTACAGTAAGAATTTTCAGAGTCACATAGGCCAATCTGCAATTGTAGTTGCTTATATCATCTGTCCATAGAGGCGGTGGTTGTCCTCTGTTTAGATATATATATATATATATATATATATATATATAATATAAATATATGTATATATATATATTTGTTGTCCATATATCATCCTTCACTCTGGCAATATATCAGACCGAACTCCTTTTTGGCAATGGCTATTCTTTCAACTGTATCCATAACTCATGTTCTTCTTATTTCTAGGTTTGGTACTTTATCTCTGATGGTAATGCATACATGTAGTTACACTTATTAAAAATTTATGAGTCTAATGAAACCACAGTAAGGTTAGGTTAGTAATTAAAGTAGTTTTTAAACAGAAAGTGGAGTTAGATAATGTTTGGTCCTAGAACCTGATCTTTTTAATCCATATGGTGAATTTGTCATGGGAAAGTCACTAGAGGAGTGGAGTAATACCGGCTGGAAGAAAAATTTCCAACTTCAAAATCACTGATGACACTAACTAAGGGCAACAATAGAGGAAGAAATTATGGATATGAAGCAAAAAGAAGTTTTAGAGCAAGAAAGCTGACCTAAAAATTAATAAAATGAAGTCAAAAATAATGGTAGACAGACAGAGAAGAATGCTCTGAATACTCTGGACTGAATTTAACAAATTTTTTGTAAGAATAATTTAATTACATGGCTAGTTTACACTTAAAATAATATCTAGCTGAAAAGAATTGGATGGTTTCATCAACAAATAAGTCTCCATATAAGGTATGTTAGAATAAAAATTTAAAAATAGAAGATAAAAAAGCTTTGAATGGGAACATGTGAAGGAAAACTGTTCATTTATGAATATATTTTGCACATTCATTCATTTATTAAACAAATATTAAAACAACACTGATATGTATATACATATTTATATTTTAACAACTGACTGCATATCAACAAACAAATACATTTCACTTAATAAACTTCTTAACCCACATGTAACTAGTGGCACCGCACAAACTAAACCATGTTAATATATATGACATGTGCTCATTTCTCAGAGATATTCTAGTTTGTCCACCAAGTGGTCCATTTGGTACATCAAAATCATTAGTGGCATCTAAAAATATTGGTGAGGTACCAGTTACCTCTGCCATGTGATCTAAATCTCTAAAATAAAGAAAAGATGAGAATATCAATTACAATCTCAAACAATTGTTATCTTTTGAAATATGGTATTTGTAGGATAATTCATGTACCTATAAAAATAAATATTGCTCCCTTCTCTATTTTTCATAGTAAAATTAGGTCTAGGCTCATTTGTTCTAACTACACCAATTACATCAACAACACCATTAACTTGGCCTTTTTCTCTTGTTTTAGGATCTTTTTGCTTACTTGGTACCCATCCTCTATTCACAAGAATTGTTTCACTAAAGATGGAACATTATTATGAGCAAAATTGCTTTAAAATTGTTAATATAACTTACTCTCTACCTTCAAGCTTCAAAGGCGTTACTACTAAATACCCTTGACTAGAACTGGCACTTCCAGAAACAAGTGAACTCTTAGTTGAAGCATCTCCTCTTATCAAAACAGAACGGGGCCCCATATACAACTCTTTGTCGTGAAGAAATTGTCCCTTTACATGTATTGGCTTGTATTCGAGTGCACTTATGTCATCCAGACTGTAAAAAATATTTTAGATCCTCTCATAACAATTTAGAGTAAGTACATACTTTTCAGGTAATGGCACTGGCTGACTGGAAGTTTTTTCTTGTAAATCAGCTAGAAGTCCTTCTTTCCACTTCTTCCTCTGTACTTGCCAAACACCCAACGAAAATGTTGAAACTGGAATAATCTACAAAATTTTGATTCAATGGCAGGCAATGGCAAAATTATTTATCTACTTACCAGAAGAAACCAACCAAAAGGACCTACTTTTTTGTCGCGAATTCCTTTTAAATTAAGGGTATTTGTTTGTATCGAATAATTGGCTGCGATACCAAATTTTTGAATGTTTTTAGAATATTTAGGAACTAGTTGCAATATTTTGACAACCATTTTTCTATTTGTAAACATATTCTAACTCTAACCTCACTTCTGAGGTTATAAAATTAAAATACACTGCTTTAATTTAATTGATTTTGATCTATGTTTTTGTTATTTATATATTGTAGGACTAACTTTTAATATCGTTTTATTAAATTAATGCAGATTTCTCAAAATAGAAACATGTAACTACATATTGATTTAATCAAGGACTTGCAAACTTGCAATAAAAGAAGAAAAATTTCTGGTTTAACCTTAAAATCGCCTTTTAAGGTATGAATCATAAATATTGAAATTGGAGCAGAGAAACGATTATAAAAAAGTATTTTTGAAATAAATTATTAGGTCCTAGTTATTTTACACAATTCTTATTTAATTCATTGTAAAGTTTCTTTGATAAATATGCAGGTTGGTATAAAAAATATTGTACATTTTGCTGTTCTGCTTGAATTATTTCACACCTGTAGAGATCATTTCTTTATAAAATGTGGATGTTGTAGAATCCAAATGAAGATACTGAATGGAATGATGTCTTACGAGCTAAGGGTATTATCCCCCAAAAAGAAAAAGAGATTACTGAAGATCAGATTGTGTCTATGTTAGAAGAAACTATAGAAAAGAAAACTGCAAGTAAGTGTGAAAAAGTATTAAACTTATTTAAAACTGGTCTTGTTTGTTAATAAAGCGTTTATAATAACTTTCAAATATTGTGGACCTATATATGCTGATTTAGTAAATTGTTGTGTTTTTAGATGGAAAAAATTTGTCTGAACTTGACCTGGATGAATTAGATGAACTGGAAGACTCAGAAGATGAAGCTGTGTTGCTTGAATACAGAAACAAGAGGATAGCAGAGTTAAGGGCCTTATCTGAGCGTCAGAAGTTTGGTTTTGTTGGAGAAATATCTGCTCAGGATTACATCAATGAAGTGAATAAAGCAGGAGAGGGAATCTGGGTTATTTTGCATTTATACAAGCAAGGGTAAGTGTACAGAAGTGTGTGATTAACACAATGTAAACCTCATTATGTCAGTTTACTATTAAAATTATCTTCTTCCTAAGGTGTCTCCTCCATTACTGAAGGTTGGCTATAACTACAGCAAATTGCTCTCTATCTTGAGCTGTTCTTAGTATCGAATGTGTGTCCACGCCTGTCTAGTCTCTTACATTCTTCAACCAGGAGCATTTTCTTCTTCCTAGACCTCTTCTTCCTTCCACTTTCCCTTCCATTATAATGCCTTGTTTTGATTGATAATGATAACTTGTTTTTCTGTTTTTTACAATATTTAGGAGTTCTCTCTCAGTACCCATTCTTCTTAGCACCTCATTGTTGGTCACATGCTCTGTCCAAGAGATCTTCAGCATCCTTCGAAAAATCCACATCTCAAAGGCCTCTATATGCCTCATACTTGTAATTCCGAGAGTCCATGTTTCTACTCATATAGCAATATGGAATAAATAAATGTTTTTACAAATTGTTATCAGATATCCAATGATAACATAGAGTTTAGTAGGAATTTTTTTATTCATTGAAATGCGAACCTAGCATATTCTATAGGAGCATGTATTTTGACCTCGTGGTCAAGATTGTTTGTTATCCAGTAACCAAGATACTGGAATCTTTGAACTGGTTCTATATGTTTGTTATAGATAAAAATTATACAATATCCTTTTTAAAACTTGTTTTTTCTTATGTTAACAGTAATTTTTTAACTGTTGAATGTTTAATAAATAACCACTATTTTATTTATTATAGAATACCCCTATGTGCCTTAATCAATGAATACATGAAGCATTTAGCAGTCAAATACCCAACAGTTAAGTTTCTAAAATCCATTTCTACCACCTGCATACCCAATTATCCAGACAAAAATTTGCCCACTGTTTTTGTCTATTTTGAGGGTGACCTAAAAAAGCAAATAGCAGGCCCATTGGAGTTCAGAGGACCAAATCTAACTCAAGATGGTAAGGTTTCAGATTATCTATGTGGTTGTGTGTTTTATTTTAATTCTAATTGGTTGTAAGTCACAAAGTGTGTTTAGACTGAGTGTTAAGAAGGTTATAGACTAAAATCCTTTAGTACATAAAATGTTTGTTTTACATTATGTTCCACATCTTACATTTTATGATACATTCATTTATTTTTAAGGAAAAAATTACTTCTGAAAATCCTATCACATAGAAATAAACCTTTTTTATTCTAAACAAACCAAATTAGATGTGCATCTAATCACAAAAGTGTATTTTTATGATGAGCTTTCCCTCAAAATTTTTGATAATAGGAAATATACTTCAAAAATAGTTTAAAATGTACTGCTTCAGGAGTGTCATATCTTTTTCGCATTTTCAGCAACATTTACTTACTCATATCATTTTATTTCAGCTTACTTACTATTTTTTTATTTCACATTCTTGGTTGCTAAAGAGCCATTCTTGCAAACACTTGAGTATTGTATATATTATCCAACATTGGGTACAAGTCTTCTTATAGTCCAATATTGTTACAGGCTACTCCTGTAAACCATCTTTGTAACTTATGACAAATTATACTAGGTGATTGAATAATAAATTTATAGCTTAACTTAGTTTTCTAATGTTGAAATTAATTCTATAATTTGTATCTTTTATTTAGAATTTGAGTACATTATTGGGAAAACTGGTGCAATAGAAACAACTATCAAAGAAGACCCTAGACCAAAAGTTAAGGACAAAATGTTCTCAGATTTAGCAGAAACTAATGATTGGTAGTACATAGGTTCATTTATGTACTGTGTAAGTATTACATTGAACAAATGTACCAAAACTTAAGCAGTGCTACACACCAGTGCTGAATACAAGACAATAAATATTATTGTATTTTTTGTCTTACATTTTAATATATTAAGTAAAAGCTACTTCATTATAAAGTGGCAATGATGCCACCACAAAATATGCAGTTTTGTCTTGTTCCTTAATAGTGTAGGTGCTGGAAATATATAACATCATGCAAGCAAAATGAAGACTAAATTTGTAATTGGTGGGTAACATACCAATGCTGATTTGAGCTCTTAACAAATTTTTGTTTTTTTTTGCATAAAATAAGTTAAAAAATATTCCAAAACTTACGATTTTTTCATGTATTTATTTTATGTGTTCACTCTATATCCTGATATGGAGGTTTACCATGTAATATGTAAAGTTATTAATGTACAACTGCTGAATATGAGACCTACCAAGTAAAATGAATTCATTTCAAATTAAATGTAAACTTTTTGAATTAATTGAGTTTTTTACTGAGTTTCTATTTAAATATCGTAGGTTTATAGCTACTGGAGTTTTTTTTAACTATAGACACTAAGGTTAATATGGATGTTGCCAAAGGAAGAAAAAACCATAACATCTGTTGTGGAACTGTATGTGTATTTGGTTCTGGTGTTTAAAACTGTCACAAATGTATTGTTTATCATAAAATTTATATATATTTATTGTTTTTGATAATTAAAAAATAAATATTCGTTTTGAATTTTCCAACCTTTCTTATTCCCACTTTATTTTTACTGAGTTATAAGTATGTCAGTGGATATAACTGAGTGAAACATAACACATGGCATTGTGTAATATAATAGATAAAAGTGTATTTAGTGTGTCACAAGTTTCTGAAGAAGGCCAAGAAGGAAAATACCTTTTAGGTTAAAACATAACCTAAAAAAACTGTCATTGCTAAAATTTCAAAGAAAACATTATTGATCATGGATATTGGCATAAACGATCCGATAGGGTAGGGATAACTACATGATTAACAGGCTTACCTGGCCATCACCAAGCAAAACCCACATTTCGGCCACCCTGAAACCTTAAAATCATGTACAAAGCTAAATATTTTATCATTTTCTCTTGCATTGTAACGAGTCCGTCACTTCTAATCCTTGCATCACTTTCAATAAAATCTATAAATAAATATTCAGTCGATATCTCTTACTAATTTGTACTTTCTAAGTTGGTATCAAATAGCGACTCTAAGCGGCAGTTTTGGCAGACATGTTTATCCGACTAGCAATTAGCAGTCATGACTTCCAAGAAGAGAAGTTGGGTTAATAAAAATGTAGGCTGCTCAAGAACTGCTAAATTTGTTTGAAGAATGTTAATTTTTTTGGGAAGAAGAGGAAGTTGGAAGAAGGTTTTAGTTTGTTTTATTGTGGGTACCGTTTGATTTATAGTCACTTTGAGCCAGTAAGTGGATTCAAATATCAATAAAAAGTATAAAAACCATCATCGTCATCAGCCAATTTGATTTCTAAAATATTGTCATTTTTCCTTTGATAGTTGATATATGTATATGTCATTTTTCACCTCATTTCATTAAGAAATATTCTAGATTTAAATATAGTAACAATATAAAATCATACGTCAATTTTCTATTTTCATTTATTCTATAATTTTCTATTTTTTATTCTATTATCAAAATAGCAAAGCATGCTTTTCGTTAAAATTATCCATTTTACATAAAATATTGTCAAACCATTCGAAGATCACATTATTTACAAAACCATTAAGGCTTTTTGCTTTCACCCTCAGTAACTTTTTGTACTATCTTTCAACTTTTTATCAAGAGTAAGAAGGAACTCCAACACAAATGTTCTTTTTAGCCTACTGAAGAAGTTAAAATCAGCAGTCAATAATTCTTTATTATTGTTTTTTTTTTGTTTATTTGAAGAAAAAAAGAATTAAGTTATTCCCTATTGGATTTACACGTTTATCAGTCACCCTTAGCTGTTCCTTCAGAGGTCCAGATCTCTATAAGACTATTTTCGGACAACTTCCGGGAACCAGCCGGAAAGACCTCCCCCATTTAGAGTGTGTAACACAGTTCATTTGTGTTATATTCATCAATTTTAATATTTTTTTTTATAATTTTTAAAATTTAAATCATAATATTTCATCTAATAATAAAGACCCGTCATTTTTTAAAATAATTCTAAATAAAATTTAAGGACCAATTGTCAACTATAGGTTGAGGTTTTAAATCCTCCCTATTAACTCTATTGTATGGTTTTATGTGTACACATTTAATTAGAGAGTTCGGTATTGGTATTTTATTAGTATAATCTATTAAACCTTAGGCATCTATCCCGTCAGGATACTGTCCTTATTACTTTATTCGATTTAAAGCCAAAGTACAGAGTTACATCTTTAGTAGGCAAGTAAATTACCCTTTTAGGTAGAATTATTAAATGTTTTCCTATATTTTATTATTTGTAAATTCAGATAATCAACGATCAATTGTGTATAACCAGGGCATTTTTTTAGTATATAAGTAAATAGGTTAACTGTACATAAATGGTGCTGGGTAGCATAAAGAATTAGACTGTATATATATATGGCTATGTATTAAATTTGTTGTGACGACTAAATATTTTAATTAATACCTGTTTTTCTTTTCATTTCAGCAAAAAGGGTATAGAGCTTTACAAGATACCTTGGAAGGTATATGTTAATACTTTCCTGGCGCCCAATCACATCTTAGAGGAACTTCTATAGTCCATCACTTTCATTTACATTATTCATATATTTTTTGTATTACCTTGTCATTCATTTTCTCATTTTACGGTCTCTGTAGAGCATGCAAATTGGCCGAATCCTCTTTTGAGTGTCAAGTAGTCACTCCCCGGCACATTCCGCTAGCCAGCCTTAAATTAATTTGTTTTTTGTTACATTGGCGCTCTGTTGTAATTCGTTACATTAGCCCAAAATACTTTTGGTTACATTACATTCACACTTTTTGTTACAGCAAATTCTTGTGTAGTCCATTACTAGTGGTTTGCGATCAATTAATCAAAATCTCTATTATGCGCAGTCTCTCTTTGACATTGTTCTTCTATCTTCTCCTCTTCAATTATTATTCGTACTAAGTTACATTTGTCTTTTTTTTATATGGTACTATGTTTATGGTGTTTCTGTTCAATTCTTTATGTATTGTGTCCTCGATATTTTAAGCATTCTGTAGTAAACCACGTTTGAATGGCTTTTAGCCATCTCATGGTATAATTTTAATGTCCACGCTTCAACTTCATACTGAAGGGTGACCAAACGTAGCATTTGATAACTAATTCGGATGTCTAAGCTTGCTTTTCGGTTATAGATGATTTCGTTCCATTTATTGTACATATTATTTGTGTTTTTATTTCTATATCTGGATCCCACTTATCATTTAGTACTGCTCCTAAATTTGTGAAGTGGTTCTATCTGGCTGGTATTTAGGTCAATGCGATGGTTTTCATCGGTTTTCCTAGTTTCCATTAGTTTAGTTTTTTTTTTAAGATTTATTATCCGTCCCATTGCTTTACTTGCATTATTAAGGCTAGCATATTTTATAGATCCTCTATTCTTCGTGCTATCAGAACAGTGTCGTTAGCATACCTGATTTTGTTAATATATGTACAGTTTATTTTTATACAAATTTCGGCGTCATCTAGTGAGGTTCCATTAAATGTTTTGAATTGTTTGGAGTTCTCTTCCGTCTAGTTTCATTTTCTGCAGTTTGGTCAACAATTTTTCATGCTGGACTCTATCAAAAGCCTTCTGGTAATCGATGAGGTAGAGAAATACTTTTTTCTCGTAGCCGAGGCACTCGGTTAGAGAATTTGTTGACTTAGGATAGGGCAGGATGAAACTATCGTACACAAATATCATTTTAATAAGTTTGTTTATTAATTTTTACATTAGATAGGTACAAAGTATAAAAAATAATTTGACTTAAGCTTACTTATAGAATTATTTTTTATGGCAATTGCAAAAATTTGGCGTGAAAAATACTGGAATACAAAATTTGGTCAAACTAACCTAAACTTTCAAATAAGACATCTTGAAAGCGACCAGTTCCTGTGGTGACACTAAAATGTAAATGTATTTATAAGAATATTTAGTAAAGCCACATTATAGGTTCAAATTTTTGAAAAATTTAAAATAATTTAATCAAAAATACAGTTCTATGAAAAACTACAATCCAAACAACATATTAATTTAACGCAGTCGTTAATATCGTTACAACACAACGAAAAACCTCAAACACAATAAAGATAATGGTTAATTGCATCGTCCTTTCGAGTGTTCCAACAAAAACTGTGATTTTCCAGTGACGGTTTCATTACAGGTCCTATTAGGGCCTTGTAAATGTTGAGTATTTTCGCCAGTTTTAGTTTTTTTTTCTCAGATGTACCTGAAGATTTAGGTACATCTGAGAACAAAAGAGAAGTATTTTTTTTCTAAACCATCTAAAAATAAACCATCGCATATTTTATAGTAAGGTGAATAAGATATTCTTAAAATATTTACTTTATTTGTTATAACAAGCTATTGATGGTATTTTAGGATTAAAAACTTGCTAACCACTGCGTTTTTCTAGAGTCGGCTTCGTATTATTTGTTTAGTTTCACGCCGATATGAGACGAGTTCTTTTGGTGACACTAAAATGCAAATTTATTAACAAAATTAAAAGTTGAAATGTTAGATTAGTCAAATATTGCAAATCTAAACATTATTGTAACATACAGCTCTACAAAAAAACTACAATATTTTAACGGTATCTCTTTTGACATTTTTAAAAGGATTTATTCCTCCTGGTGAGAACATATGTCAATAAGAGAGAATATTGTATTTTTTTTAGAATGAGAAATAAAACGGCAATATTGATTGATTGAAATTTGATTTTCTACTTCGGTAAAACAGGGTTTTACTAGTTTATGAAGGCATTTTTTCCTGGGGTGACACAAAACTCGTTTATCTTAAGTTATTCCTTCTTTATAATGGAACATCCTTTTAAATTCTCTAGTTTTTCGTATTTCACCATCCATTTTTGTTAAGTACAAACAAGACCTAAGCAAAAACATTGTTAACTTAGTTAATTTCTTTTCCATGCCCACTCTGATAGTTTTAAACAAAAATGGTTATTATCACTTTTTGTGTAGAGTGAACCGATTTCTTAGAAACAACGCTTGAAGCGATTGGCGATTTTTAATGTCAGATGCGCTCGCGAAATCAATGTTAAATAAAATTTGTCTCAACGCGACGGTAAAAATTCGATATCTTTTGCTCAGAGTGTCCTATCAACTCGTAATAAGTAAACAACAGAATATAAAACCGTCTATATATGTAAATAATATCAAACTTGAGCAAGTTGATAAAATCGTCTACCTTGGACAGCAATTAAATTGTAATGCAGAAAATCACGGCGAAATTAGATCCAGAATAGAGCAGGCTAGAGCTGCTTTTAGAAGGATGTCCAAGGTGTTATGTAACAGAGACCTAAAATTGGCATTAAGGATCCGCCTACTTCGCTGCTACGTGTTCTCGGTCTTACTTTATGCTGTCGAGTCCTGGACTGTGAATAAAATCGATCTAAATCGCCTTGAGGCTTTCGAAATGTGGTGCTATAGAAGAATTTTAAAAGTTTCCTGGGTGGAGAAGATTCGTAACTCCACAATACTAGAACGTCTCAGCAAGACTACTGAGATCATAAAAAGCATCAAGCAGAGAAAGCTGGAATATTTCGGACATGTAATGAGAGGTCCCAAATATAGATTGCTACAAAACATCATGCAAGGAAAAATAGCAGGCAAACGCAGTCCAGGACGAAGAAGAACCTCATGGTTGAAGAACTTGCGAGACTGGTATGGTGTAGATACAAGCATGCTATTTAGGGTGGCAGTGAATAAAATTAAAATAGCTATGATGGTAACCAACGTTCTGAAAGGACATGGTACATGAAGAAGAAGAAGTCCTATCAACAAAAATCAAAATGAGTTTTAAAGATGAATAGAGCAACTTTTATATACAATTTTTTTTTATTTTACCGCAAATGAAGTCAGTTTCTATAAATATGTTTAATAAATAAACGTTGTGCGATTTTTGCCATTGTTGCCAAAAAATATGAGGCATTTGAAAGTAGTGAAATTTCCATTTGTAGAAACCAATATTTGAATTAATGAAACTTCGATTTTGAGTTATAGCAACAAATATGAGGCATTTGAAATATGACTAAAAACGCAGAATTTAAACTTTTACATTACAAACGATCGTACGTCACGGGAAATGCTTCCTAGAAGTCGGTTTAGGGTAGGTATAGTTTGTAGCAAAAGTTAAGTAATTTGGAAAAACGTACTAGTGTTATTGAAAAACAGCAGTTATAAACGTTTTAGATCGTTTATAAGGTGAAAGTTTAAATTCAGCGATTTTTAAGCATATTTCAAATGCTTCATATTTGTTGTCAAAACTCAAAATCGAAATTTCATGTTATAGGTTTTGAAGATTGGTCTCTACAAATGGAAATTTCACTACGACCGGTCAACGAAAGTGATACATTTTATTTATCCCATGAGAATCATAAAAAATGGTAAAAATCGCGGCACGTTTATTTATTTACCACCTTTACAAAAACCGAGTTCATTTGCACAAAATACAAAAATTTACCTTTAAAAGGCATCTTGATTTTTATCGATAGGACAGTCGGACAAACAGATATCAAATTTTTACCATCCAGTAGATACAAATTTTATTGAACATTGATTTCGCGCGCGTAACTTACATTTAAAATCAACGATACTTCTAGCGTTGTTTCTGATACAACGGTTCGTTCTACACAAAAAATTCTAATAAACATTTTTGTTCAAAATTATCCTAAGTACATTTTTTATTTGAAACATTTTTTCTATGGCGTACAGATTCTGGATAAATCGTTTTTCCGTTTTCCCCCCTCTAGAGATGGGTTTTAGGATAAAACCCGAGGGTAAAAATGGTTAACTTTTTTTTTATTTTTTGGCGTCCTAAAATTAAAATTCTCAGCAAAATTCAGCTTGTTCGTATGATTCTTAGAGGTTCAGTGGTATTTTCGTCTCTGACGACTGGAGTAAATGTGTTTATGTGAGTCATGTCCCGTTTACTACGATAGCAAAACAACTGAATCCTTGAGTTGCCGGCTTTCATCGACGGCCGCGGTTTTAGGGAGGTTTAACTATTACCTACTAACCTAAAATTATTTATTGTAATCAATAATAATCATTATTCCTACATTATCGTGATACATATTATAAATATGTATTTCTTCAATACAATTAGCTTTGTTATAGCTTCTTATGAAATTGTTTGTACTCCATTGGGAGACCTACAATAGCTCTGAAACATCACTATTACTTCTAAGAATTTACTGCCTACAATTTTGATTCTCGATTATTGCGTCCCGCGCCTTCAAGTTCCCAGTATCCATTCACATCTATCGGTCCAGTTTTCTCGTCGTAGATCACTCTAACATTGCCTTTTGGAATTTATCAATCCATGCTATGTTCGGTTTTCCTCGGATTTTGACGCTCGGGTGGCTGCTAATCCAATATTAACTTTTGGTAGGTGATGATCTGTCATTTTCTGTACATGTCCGTATCAAATACGCTGTTTTTGCTGTATTTTTTTTTTGTTGTATGAATGTATTTCTTCCATGATCGTGGTTGGTCTGTCCATGATTTGTTTTCTTCTGTCATCTGTAACATGACAACGCTTTTAAAAATATGTTATATAGCTGTATCTTTTTCTGTTTAGAGACAGTTTTTAATCAGAGTAATGCGTTCACTGCATCTATTTTTTTTCCTTTTATAGTTAGTTTTTCAATTTCTGTCTCATTGCTTTCATTTCTTTCCGTCTTTGCCTCCAAATACATAAATTTAGAACATGATAAAATTACCTTTCCATCTCCTTAACCCTCTAACTGACAAGATTCTAAAAATTATTCTATTTAGTTGGAAATTTTTTCAAGTTTATGTATTAAGAAACCTAGAAAAGCTATTCAAATGTAATTATCAATTTTTGTTTAGCTTCCAGATAAAAACAGGTAAAGGGGTTCTCAGGGGACTCTTGCCGGTTTAAGTTATAAATAGCGTTTTATTCATTTGAATGGACTTTATTAAAATAAACTTAAAAACAAAGTGTGTACACGATTTTTTATGGTGATAATTATAAACACAGTTTTTGGCATTAGAACAACATAAATAAAGATCACATTTGCTAGACACTTATTGAGTCTTCGACACTTTGTAAAATTTAAATTTTTTTACCACTCTTTGTTGAGCCAAAGTGTAAAGTGATCAAAACCGTCGAAGCAAATGTCATCAATGAAATGTTTTGCTTTTTTCCAATCCCAGAAATAGTTGTTGCGGTGAGCTCGATTGTCATTTTGATGTTGAACGTCGGCCAAGGATACTTTTTTCACTAAATACGAGAGCAGTAGCAATTTGTTCTGAATTCTGGTAGCTGCAAAAACTTTTCATGTTCCGCTGAGATATTGCTCGAATCATTTCATTTTTCAGCATGTATGTGGCGGTACAAAATATAAGCGTTTGTTGCAGCCATATCGATCAAGTGGTAGAAAATTCGAACCATTGCACTACGTGTCTTCGTTCTAATACGGTAGCGACCAATCAATCCATCCATCAGATCAACTCCTCCCATATGTCTGTTGTATTCGCGAATGATCTGCAGACAGTTGACTTCAATGTATTTTTTCTTTCATTCATATCGTGGTACTTTTGCAATATGTTGATTTGGAATTGCTCTCAAAAACGGCTCAATGCCAACATAAGTCGATGTCAGCCGCACGTTCTTGGTATCTTTTCATGAAATTGTATCATATTCAACAGAATATCCTCTTTCTTCATCTTTGATATCCTTATCCAACGGAAGCTTACAGTTTGGGATTCTATTTGTCCGTATTGTACCGAGGCTATAAATTTCTCTTGCACTTAAATAAACTAACAAAAGTAAAGACGTATAGAAATTGGGAAAAAGGATGTGATGGGAAAAGCTAATATGGTTTGTGACAAACGTACAACAACTTTTGATGTGCTTTCAAGATCAGGTGCGCCAGGAAGAATTATATTGTCGCCTACACAGTTATAAATTTCAAAACGATATGCATAACCTTGAGAATCACAAGGAACAAACAGTTTGATGCCTCATTTGTGCGACTTATTTGGCAAAAATTGACGAATACGATGCTTGACTTTGATTGAATACATCTGCTCATCAACACACAATCTAGGCGTATTGAAATCGAATCAAAACGATTGTTGACCTTATCAGCTAATTTCCGGATGCGAAGCAGTAGATCATAGCCTGGCTGACCTTTTCGAATGCGCTGTTTTTCATCTTAAAATGATAAGTGTTTCTTTATTTCCATAAACTTTTTTTACTTTTTGTCGCTGAATTCGTTTTAAACCTTAGTTTAATATCTGCTACAAGTGGTTGATGATCAGATCCAATATCTGCCCCAGGGTATGTAGTGAAGTTCTTGAAGACTCAGGGTTATTGCCATCATCAAATGGGGCTTTCCAAGTGTATAGTCGTCGCTTGTGTAGTTTATACCAGGTGTTTGCAATGATCATATCGTTTTCTTTGCAAAATTCATACAATTAATGCCCTCGATCGTTAGGTTGTCCTAAACCATAAGGACCTATAGTCTCTGACCTCGTCGACATTTTACAATTTTTGCATTGAAGTCGCCTATAATATATAAAATTTCGTGTTTATTAAGTTTCTGTAAGATATCTTGGATCCGATCTTCTCGACTTCATCGTTATATTTTCTATCTACAGTCGGGGCATAGATTTGAAGTATGTTAGTTTCAAACGGTTGAGTATTTATTTGGAGTAATAATATTCTATCCGAGACTGGTACGAAATTGCTCACAAATTTACTCAGTTCTGTTGTTGCTAATATACCTACACCATTTTTGTGATGCGGGTCTTCTGTGCTGTTACCAGAATAATATAATACATTTCCGTCCTTTTTACATGATCCTGACTCTGGCCATCTCATTTCGCCGATTCCCAGTAGGTATATTTTCATTCTTTTCATTTCTTGAATTGCGTTGTCAAGTTTCCCAGCCGCAAATACACTTCTAACATTCCACGTGCACATTCTAAAATTAAATTTCTTCATTTTTCGGATGTCTTGGTAATACTATTCTTGAATAATATTGAGATGCCCCTCGATGAGAAGGGGTTAAAAGTATTTTTATATAGTCACATCGCTACGAGTAATTGTATGCCTTTATTAATCCCGCAAACCTTTTAATCAAAACCAGTAAAAATAAATAGAAATTTTGATCTGTTGTAATACATTAGAAAATATTTCACCATTAAAAAAGTTATTTTTGTTGAACGAAGAATATCTTGGATTTTTAAATCACAACTTAAAGTAAACCAAATTATAATCTAATTATAGTTCGCACTAAAGGATAGACAATTATATTTTAGTTGTGTGGATACTTACAAATATATTTTGCAACAACGGTAGGATCGGCTACTAAATTTCTATCAATGTCACTTATAATTGCTTTTAATCTATTTTCAACATTAGATAATGTGACAGATGAAGAACCACTGATAAGGTTATTACTTTTATTCCAGTAATATTCTATCTTTCCATTTTTAATGCTTTCGTAGTAAGATTTTAGAAGCTGAAATAAAAAACCACATTATTGCGTTAATTTTAGAAAAAAAAATTACTTAACCCTTAAATGCCCAACAATATGTAGGTTCCATGTATGCACAATGGTGGGTAAAAAAATTCCACCTCTATTATTTATTGAGAGTTACAAATGTTAGAAATTGATTAAAGGTGTTGGAGAATTATATCTCCAAACCAATAATTCTATTTTGTATCAAATAATTCTATTTTCGTGTCGGTTACCTAAATAAATCCAGTCTACCTAGACCTTGTTTCTGAGAATGTTAATCCCCTCCCACAGCGCCTACTTGACGACAGACCGGCTTTTCAAAATGCATTAACAAAAAAATATTCCAGCGGGGCTAGTGATTTAGCGACTTTCGTAGGGCTAACATCTATATTTCAAAAGTTCGGAGAGGATTCTCCACGTTGCAGTTTACGCAATTGACCGGGAAGCCGTAATATGTGAATAAGTGTTATGGTGTTTTCGCTTTCGTTCGCAAATTGTAATATTCAAATTAAGTTCCTACGATAAGTTACACACTCAAATTTTATAAGCTCTATTTCTTGCCCTTTCTTTTTTCAATTACAGTTTCTTTCTAAACAAGTAATTGTTTTATTTCACTATATCAATTCAACAGGCCAGATAAAAGCAACTTTGAAAGTCCATTTTAATTTCTCTACTGAGCTGTCGAAGGCTAGCGGACTAATTGGACTTGCAGCAAGAACAAAGCCGCTGAAAGACACACTGTTGCATACAAGCCTCTCCATGGAAGGGATGTTGTAAACCGGTACCCTCCAAAAGGTAAGAATCTTATGCTTAGTAAACAATACATCATTTTGTGAAATATTAATATAAACGATGTATACATCGTACGAGACTAACGAACTATTAAAAAACAGTTTGACATAAGAAGGCTAATCTGACTCCCAATGTTCCAACTGCAGAATCTCTGCAACTGAAACAGACATAGGTTTTTCACTGTGTTTGCTACATACATATGTATTGCACGTCGCATACACTATGGTTGTCTTTGCATCAAGATTCCATTACAATATGAAGATACAACCTCTTCAGATTCCCACTCCTTCGTTGAACAAGATCCTTTATTAGTTCGATCCCTAACTTCTGGAGGAAAAAACCCGTCTATTACATTTTTTTATATTCCATTGTGGGTGGTTAAGTGTAAATAAGGAAAATGCGTTCAAGGAAGCAATGTCTACTAATGTAAAAAAGTTGATAATGGCCCATTTTCGTGTAGATCCCTTGGAATTGTATTTTCTCGCCATTTGGTCTATCTACCTAACGTTATATAGAAACTTTTATATATAAATATAGTAACAACTTCAACATCCGTAACGGATAGGTACCATAAGAAGAAGAATGTTTTGTTGTATTCTACAGACTTCTCTATCAGGTTCTTTATCACTAGTAAGTGGTCGTTAGTGCTGTATTCCGATTAAAATCCAGCTTGTTTTCTAGGTTGATAGAAGGCTAATTTATCGTCCAGTCTTTTTTGATAATTTTTGTTAAAAGTTTATATATATACGTTCCAAAATTAAAGTAGAAAGTTCCACCTCTATTTTCAAAAATTTATACAATTCTAGACGTGTAAGATCGGTTGCCTATAATATATTATAAGCAGGGTGGCGAAAATAAAATTAGTAGTTTTCAAATAGGAGTAATGTCAGAGAACTACGAACGCAGAGAAGCGACACTCCTTTGATCTTGCGTGGGCAAGCCGCCAACGAGTGAAAATGACAGGAAAGCACCTTATTTACTAATAGTCAGTGGGCATATTACACAATATAAATTCTTAAATAAAATTGAGCATTTATGTTGACTTTCAATAAATATGAAATATCGCACTGAAAAAATAATTACATGCAGGGCCGGCTTTTGTTGACATTCTAAATGGTGTAATTATTTTTGATTTACAAAAGGTTGCAAATACATCGCACAACGCAAAGTAATGGTGAAAATCGTATTGATGGAACCATAGATGAAAATACTTTTTTGTTTATTCTGATGTTGACATTGATAATACAATAATACACCGATTCTTTTTGGCTTGTGTTGATACAAGATATAATTTGTTCGTCGTGGAATTTTCTAATAAATTATCTTTCGTAATATAATCGAAAAATAACAAAGCCATTGTAACTGCCACGGAAATTTCACAAACTCTAAAAATTCCAATTCTCTTTGGGTGAGACTGAGAAACAAGAAACTTTATATTGATATCGATTGTTAATGTCTTGGAAACCTATTAAAATAAATAAGATAAATATTTATTCCCTAAATATGTTGTGTACTCCGATCCATATATTTGATCTTTGTTATTTATATTTAACGAATTAAACATTGACAGACAACTTTTGTATATAGCAAAAAGTAGATGAGCATTTAGTTTTTTCATAATTTAATGTTAGGTTTTTTGGTGAAAAAGACAGCAAATATTTGAAGTTATGTTAATGTAAGTTTGTTTATTTGCAATCATGTTTTTATTTTGAAGTCTTGTTCTGTTGTAATTTTAAGATTTTTCCAATTTTCGATCTAATTATGTTTCCAACACTTTTTAGTTTGAGCATTTTAGGAATTTCTTTGTTTCGTTTAAATCAAATATTCTCGTGTATAAAACCCTCTATATATTTTTATTTCCTAAAAATACTATATTCGTATTGTTGTCTGCGAGCGCTTTCACACCAGTAGGCCAACATCTGTGTTGATTTTTTGACCCGAGCCTTCGGAGACAATAAATTTAATGTGTGTTCGTAGTTCTCTGGTTTTTGTTCTGAACTATCCCTTGGCATGCCAAAATTTATTTTTTTATTGCTTCACTTAACGAGAGCTCGGGCGGACACGTCGGTGTCGGCTTACTCAAAGTCAAATTAATACTATTATGTAATAACTAATACTAATTACAAAGCAATAGTAATTACCTGTTATTATTCTTAGGAAATCTAAATAAACTTATTCCTTTTCCTGTCACAGATGAACATCCGCGAAACGCACAACAATAACCAGAAGACATTTTAAAATACTTATAAATTAAACTTTTAACTATAAACTTATATATTTAACTTAAATATTTTAACTATAACTATAAACTTTTAACTACTAAGTAAATTAGATAAATGGTCAAATGCACTTGTATAGTCGAGAGTTTACCACAGATGCCTACGGACTATCGTAAGCGACTAAAGTTGAAGAAAACGCACGTGTTTTTGACAGTAAAGCACCTTATTTGGGTCATGCATATACAGAAAAGATACACGAATTTCGGGCCTCGTGTCGCTTCTCTGTGTTCGTAGTTCTCTGGTAATGTCTGGCAAATTATGCTGAAGTTAAGGGAAAATGTCCTCTTTTTGTGAAGAAACTAATTTAGATCGTTCTTTCTAGAGTTATCTTGGAAGAATTGGGATCACAAAATTTAAATGTTTGAATCTCGGTATTATTCGGTGACTTCCGTGTGTCAAGTTGTAAAGTGTTCGGGAAGACGACGAAAAGGAAGTGATTCTAGGTTTGACCGTGGTACCGAAAAGTTCGGGCTAGTTTAAAAATGCCATTTTGTTTTTTTGCTGCTGTTCCATGTGGGATCTGGACTGGTACAAACCGTGTGGATATTCAACGGGATTTGCTGCCTTCGTGGAAAGGTTTTTTGGGAATATCCACAATTTCGCTAAAAAAAAAGCGGATCTACAGTGCACGTGTTTACCGGAGTCGCAGTTAGATAAAGAAATTAGCCTTAATCACGAGTCGACACGAAATAGCCGACTAAGTTTCTTTCCAATTTGGGATATTTAAAACCCCTAATCATTTTTGGAGTTCCTGCTAAGTCGCAGTGGATTTTGCGAATGGTATTTTTGAATTGAAGACACACTGAACTAGGATCCCACGCGGTGAAGTATATGAATGTGAATGAAAGTTCGAGGTATGGATCGATAATTAATTTTCCACGGAAGATTTAAGCGCCGTCTAGTTTGTTTATGAGATACAATAGTTTTTTTTGCGGTTTGATTTTATTTTAATATTTACAAATACTTTACAGTTTTTAAAGATTATTTGCGGTTTATTTTATCAATTAAATATTTACACATACCTATAATAATTTTGTAAACGGCGTCTAGGGGGTGTTAAATATTTGAGATAGATTTATTTTTTTTATATTATTTTCTGCGCACGTGCTTAAGCTCTCGTGGTGTCGTATTTGGGTTAATTTTTTTTGTTGGTATTAAACCACACACCCCTTAGCGTCCGGTACTTTTGATACGTCTTACCTTTTTTCGTGCAATTAAATAGAAATAACTTATGAATTTTTGTTAGGCAAGTAGAAGCCGCATTTTTATATTCTTTTTATTAAGCATATGGTAAAGTTAAATAATATTGTAATATGTATTTGTTTTCAAATATCTTGGGAATATATTTATTAAAATTGACTAAATCCTGATCTCAGACAATTTCATTCATTTTTTTATTTATTCAGGTTGTATACTATACTTAATATTTTAGTAGTAAACCTATTGGTAAGTTGGTGGTTTATTGAATAGTAACGTAGGGAAGGCTGTGGGCCAATTTACCTGGCGCTCCTGATATAACTTACAGATTATATTTCTACCCCCCCCCTTACAGATTGATATTTCTACCAGAATAAGCGTAGTATTAAAAGCAAAATCGTTAAAAACGACTTAAATGTTTATTTACTTACAAATAGAAGAATATGTTATCATACTTACCGTCATGAATACATAACTCAAAGAGCTCGTCCAGAACTCTTGCGGTTTTCGGTCTTTTTCCCACAGTGCTATAGTTTTTAGGTAGTAACTAGCTATGCAGGCATGATTCTCTTTATCTCTCATTTTCTAAAACGGTAAAAAGAGGTACAGTGTTCACAAGGTGTGCTATTTGAAAAAATGCCGCATCCACTAAACTGATATTAGCGACGTTAAAATCAAGAAAAATAAACGTATAGAATATTCGTATAAAAAATTAAAACGTTATGGATAGATACAGTAGAGAAGAAGAAAAACCTAAGAAAATAGCGTGTTGGTGGTTTTTCTAAGATAGACCCAATGACATATAATATATAGACCCAGTAGTCGGCTATGCTTGCTATATAATCGGGTGTCATAGAGACCCATGATACTATAACAAAAGAATATAGACGCTTATAAGCTATATAAGCGACTATATTTTTTGCTATAACAAAACATTGGACTATGATAAATACAGTTGGCGTTAGTATGTTAGGTTAGGTTTGATCTCATTAATTCTCTGTCAACAGCCTCAATATTGTCTTGTACCACAAAATTAATATCAGAAGCGAAACGGAGAGTCGGTTCCTTTGATATAGAAATCAAGGTATTTGACCTTAAGCACCACTTACAAAATTATACACTAAGAAACAGGTATTTTTACTTAGGTACACGGAGAACGTGTAAGCGTAAGTAAAAAGACTTGTTTCTCAGTATATAATTCTGTAACTAGTGCGTAAGGTCAAATATCTTGGTCCCTATTGGCGACGTGCAAGTACTTGGAGGGGATACGAGAAACGATCGTGCGCGAGTAGCGGAGAAATCTTGCATTTTTTACTGCATATTTCATAGATTGCATAAATTCATATTGTCAATTGTCATATTTCATATTCGTTTGTTTATTTAAACTTTCTGTCACTGAAGAAAATGGGATTTAGGAAATGCTGTGTTATAAATTATAAAAATACAACAAAAAATTGTCAATTTAAGTTTTATTCGTTTCCAACTTCGAAGCACAAAGCTACTACAGAGAGAAAAAAAAGTAAAAAAGCATAAGTAACATAATCTAAATTATGCATTATTCTTGCGCCCGATTTTAAAGTCATTTTGAAATATATAATAAATAAAAGTTCACTTTTAAGTGTAAATTTTAGTTTCATAACACTCACTTAGAGTTCATTTTAACCCAAAAATCAAGTTTAATGTTTAAATTTTATTTTTTTGAAGTTTACAAAAATGCATCACAGGTTCAAGTTTTTCTGAAGATGCATTAAGATATATTCGCTGTCCAAAAGTTTGCAGGAAAAAATTAATTGTTCAGATATCATGGGCTTAACCTGCTAATTTATGCCTTAGCATTATTTATGGTAATTTATTTTTCTTAATTCTTCTACATAATTCTTCCACTCTTAGTTACAAGAAAAATAGACTGTATTGTTGGCCATGTTGTCTGTTTTCTACAGAAAAATAAAGTGGATGGGTCAGTGGCGGAGTCCACGATTGAAATAGATTTAAAGTTTTGAAAAAGTAGACATGACGTTTCTCCGGTACATGTAATATGTGTAGCCAGTTTGATTCAGTTTGGCAAACCAAGAATATAAAGTTTTCTCAACCAAGTTTTAATTGCTAATTAAATATTGCTAAATATAACAAAATTGTTAAAAAAAATAGATATATCGTTAGCACAGTTCCCACTTACTTATAGATGCCGTATGATTTTTGGCCAAACAAATATTAGCGTTTCGGGGTCATTTTGAAGACGATGACTCTGACAATTGAGGGAATTGTTAGCAATAATTGCCAAAAAAGATCAAAAATTTTGCGAACATCTAGAATCATCAACTTTCTTTTAGTAAAGAGCGTTCAGCGGGATCCTTATCGGAAATTATGTTCAGTGTGTTAAATGAGTTTCAGTGTGGAAATAAACTTATTTTACAGACTTATGATGGTGCGGCTGCAATGAGTTGGAAACACAACGATCTACAAAAACTGGTTAAAGGTAATCAAGATGCATTTTTTGTTAATTTTTATGCGCATAGACTCAATTTGGTTTTACAGCAATCAGTGGAACATATTAAAAAGTATAAATTTTGTTTAAACGTTATCAGGACTTGCTGCATTTTTTCAAAATCGTCCAAAAGGTCTGTTGCTTTGGGTAAATTAGTACAAAGTAGCAGCAACAAGGTGGATTTATGCTGGTAGACTCATTGAGGCTGTTTCTTGTATTAGTTCAGAGCTTCTCCAACTATCACCAAAATGTGATGGAGAGACACGAATTTGTTCGAAAGGTTTTTACATTACAACAGCAAGAATTTGATTTTAATTCCTTTTTAAGTTTATTTGAGATTATTGTACCAAAATCAGAAGTTTTTTTTGATATTTTATAAAAAGAAATGTATGACATTCATTCAAAGGTTATTGAATATCTCGAATTTTTGCAATTAGAGCAGAACCATTTTGAAAGTTTATTGCCAAAACAAGAATTTTTAAATGATGATGTCCCCAAACCCAATAAGAGGCATCGAATTATCAATATTAACGAGGATAGACGTCTTGTCGACGATTTTTTTTTTTGAAATTTTTGACACTAAGATTATTGAACTTAAAAATAGGTTTTCTGATTTAAAGCATCTAGAATATTTGGCACTATATGATTTTGACAATTTTTTTTTTGACAATTTGACACAGTAAAGTTAAAAACAGAATTGACAGTTCTTTATACTGATCCAGATTATATTAAAAAAAATGTACAAGAATTGTAACAATATTTAAAGTCTTCAGAGCTTGATGTATTTCTGAATGCATTTCCGGAAGCTTTTTAATTTGTAAACCTATTTTTAAAAATTCCAGCTACAAGTGCATTCGTTGAAAGAAGTTTTTTTAGCAATGAAGCGGATTAAAACATGCCAAAGAAATATCCAATTGCAAGATCGAATGTTGTAACTTTCTTTAATTTCGATGAAGAGATGCTTTTTAAATGGATTATTGACAAAACCCTCTTTCTACGATTCTGTTATTAACATTTTTGTACCTCGTTTACTTTTATCCCACAGGCTTGGATTAGTCATACGATGCTCCAGTACGTAAAATAATATAAAATACCTTAAGTAAACAAAAACTTTGGGAGGTTCAAAATCATTTTTTTGAAAGGTCACTGAGTATAAGCATCTGACTTAAAAATAAAATAAAAAAATACCTTTAAAATCTTAATAGATGGTTTTAAATACTGCTTTTTGTCAATAAGTTCTCTTTCCTGCTCTTGGAACGACAACCTCCAATAGTGATCGCCTAACATAGTTCCGTTTTTTTGGGGTTTGGGCACAATGAAGAAGGTTGACTGAAAGAAAAAAATTGTTAGATTCAACTATTTACATGTTTATTATTCGATTCTTCGTGTTTATTTGTTAGTGCAAACGTTAGTTTAGTTACTGCACTAATGAACTGCTTTTCTCTGAGTATTGAAACTAATGTAGGGAAGAGTGGGAGCATATCGACCACTTAGGCGCTATTAAAAATTTCAAGTAGTAATCGTTGTAATAAGATGACTAAACTGGTCTTCTAAAATGTGCTTTTTTACTCTATCCATTATGAGTTTTTTAATTGGTTTTGCAAACAAACAAATATATTTTTTTAAAACGTACTTTTTTAGAAAGACAAAAAAGCAGGTTATTTCGACCGGTAGGATAATATCGAGCATGATGTAAGCCAAAATCGACCAAGCACTAATATTTGATTGACCAATGGGAAGGAATGAAGAGGTGGAGAGCCGTCGTTCGAGGTGTCGGGTTTGTAGAAACGCAAGCAGGACGCTTCAGCGTTACGGTCACAAGTCTACACTCCTAGTATCCGAGACGAGCCTCTGGTGCGACTACTATACTCTCATTTCACAGAATCAAGGTGTTGAACGTGCTGCATTCCTAACACACCCTTTCCCCATTAAGGGCGTAGGGTTACGGCAAGTATCCACCTTGGGAGACTTGGTAGAGGAGAGCTCCTCGGCGACTACCTGTCAAACGTGTGAGGTCGAGCCTCGACCTGCGTTCACCTTTCTGTCCCCCGGGGGTGGGGGAGATAACCCCAAGATGCTTCGTGCAACGCGCCACCCTCAAATGGTGTCGGATTCGTAAGGGTTAGTGGCCATAGTCGTATGCCGAAAGGTCAGGAAGACCACGGTCCTTTTAACAATTTTATTGTTGGAGGTGGTACACGACGGTATATCATTCTTACGACAGGCAGGGATAACTTGCCACGGCTGTATTGTCTCCGCGAGCCGAGCGGAGAAAGACTATTTTACAGTGAGCATGTGTCACATGTTTCTAATCAACCAGAAGAACTAATAATTACAGTGGCACAAAAAAGAATAGAACAAGTAAAAGAGTATATATATATATCTAGGCCAAATCACTAAATTAAATAAAGAAAATCAGACCGAAGAAATAAAGATAAGAATAAGATTGGCCTGGGCATCATTCGGAAAACTGTCTTATATTCTAAAGAATTCAAAATACCCGCAATACCTAAAAACGAGAGTCTTCAATCAATGTATGCTCCCTGTCCCAAAGACAGAAAGATCCATGGAAAGACAAATGCTGAACATTAAACTATCAGACAGAAAAAGAAACGAATGGATCCGTAATAAAACAAAAGTGAAAGATGTCTCAATCCAAGTAGCAAAGCTTAAATGGAAGTTCGCCGGACACACCCTAAGGCAGAAAGATGAAAGATAGACTAAGACAATTATACATTGGAGACCATGGAATCACAAACGAAAAACGGGGAAGGCCACAAATGCGATGGTCAGATGACCTGGAGTTTTCCCGTTATTTCCAACTTTTCTTATAACATTTTGTAATTTTTCAGTATTTTTTCCCTTTTTTAAATTTCAAGCTTAGCATTTAATGGAGTAAATATTAATATTTGTGAATGTTGTCTTTTTCGCTGTGAAGTTCGAAGTTAAAAGACTGAAACTGAACACAAATCGTGGAATTACCTATTTTCCGTTTTTCCCTAATTTTTATGGCTTTATCATCATCGTTGCTTAAGTTGTCTGCAGCAACTTCTTCCAAACTAAACTCAGAATCGAACGAATTTCGTAACGTAAGATGTTCAATCTTTCTGGAATGATTTTAATTGCCTCAGGTTCCGGAGGAGTCGTATGACGTGGTCCTGGTTCTAGAGAAGGAGTCTTATGACTTGGTCCTTATTCGGAGAAGAAGTCTTATATTTGGGTTATATTGCTTGTGAAATATGATGGGGTGTGTTTCTAGTTAATAGTTAATTTTCTGGAGCCATTGTATTGGACCCATCTTCATTATTTTCATTAATTTAAAGAAAATATTCCTCACAAAACGCATCACGATTGATGGAAAATATTCCGATGAGTGGAATGATTATCAAGTATTAGAAGAATAGGTTGCTCTAGGCTACTCTGGAGTAGCGCTATCAAATTTTGTGAAGTAACGCAACTATTCGGTAAACAGCTCTTTTGTAATCCATCCAGATTTCGAACATATGTATATCGCTCTTGCGGGACCATTTTTTCCAAACCATCTTTCATCCTGTCTCAAAAATAAAAATAAGCGGGATATATTGCCCTGACGCACCAAAGCAGCATACTACGGTAGTATTTTGTCCGCTTGTTATCGCACCAACTTGCTTTTTCCCTTTTTTGGTATTATACCAAAATGGTATTTTTAAAATAACGACTCTAGATTCTTAAAAAATATATCCATTTTGGCTTTGTTGAATGGGATAACTCTGCTAATGCTAGTAGCTTCCAGTTTTCAAAAACTTAGTTGCAGATAACATCGCATAAACGGATAGAGCCAATCCTTACCTTGGCTTCTTTTCCGCTAAAATTCCTTTAGCCGTATTAAAAGTATGGGTCAAAATGTCAAGGTAAGCAAAGAAAATCAGACTACCGAAATAAGTAGACGTATAAAAATGGGATGGGCAGCATGCGGAAGACTGTACGTCTTCGTACGTACTTAAAAATAAAAATATACCTCAAAGACTGCGAACCAAACCTGGACATTCACTAAAATAAACATGGAGAAGATCAGAAAAACTCAGAGAGCTATGGAATGACAGATGCTGGGTATCTCATCATAAAACCAATGAAGACATTCGTAATAAAACAAAAGTAAAAGATGCCGTGGAACAGGCAGCTAAACTGAAATGGAAATGGGCTGGACATAACGAACATCTTAAGGATGGCCGATGGAATAAAGAAATCGGGAATTGGCGGCCATATGAAGCCAAAAGACCGCAAATGCGCTGAAGCGACGATATTAAAAGAACTGCAGGGCCAATGTGGAAACGTCTTACAAATAACAGATATGAATGGCAAGAATTAGGAGAGGCCTATATTCGGGAATCCGAATAGAGAGGGCTTAAAAAAATTGAAATTCATCGCATTACAATGTGGCCGAAACGGCGTATACGTGCGTATACTTTGAGCAGTCAATACATAAAATGAATTGGAAAAGTGTTAATTCCGTGTGAACAATTTCTCTTTCCTAATCTTCAGAAAAAAACAGGTTTTCTTCCCAACATAAATTTTTTTAGTTCTAATTAAAATCTACTTCTTAGCCTATCTTGGAGTGTGCCATATGGAAAATCAAATGTTTTAGCAGCACTCCTAATTGACAATTTTTGTTCTGTCACGGCCTTTAAGGCTCTTTTCGTGGCATCCTCCGTCCATAAAGCACGTCATGTTCTTCTAATGTATGTTCGCGGCATCAGAAATGAAACGCCATTTGATTTAAAATGGCTATTACTAATACATCAACTAGTATAAAGTATAATATTGATGCCTGGAGGGTAATATCGACCAGCATGATCAATTTTACCCGGGACAGTACACACTTAACCCTTTTTTTTAACTAAAAATATAGATTTCGCATAAGTAAGATTGAATTATGTCAAAATATCATCTGAACCCATGAAACGTAAAATTTATTACATTTAAAAAAGATAACAGTATTCTTACCTTAATAAAATCAACGCATTTTTAATAAAGAAAATATAAATACAAGCAAAACTGATAAAATGCAGCCATGACGAGTACTGATAAAATGCACCCATACCAACGCAATAAATCAGGTACATTCGGGACCATCTGTCGGCCGATCGGTACCTTTCGCTCGTATGGTGCCAAGTTTATAAGATTTGAAACTGGTCGATTTTGCAAGACGATCGATATTCCCCCACTCTCCTCTAAATATGTTAATAACAAGGATTTACTAAAATTATTACGTGAAGTATCATGCAAAAGAAGTCCACATTTAAAGTATTTGCTCTTTCTTACAAACAAATTGTAAATGAATAATGACAATGAGCTGATTCATTTTCATTTTTGTATAGTGTATTAGCACTGAGAACAACTATTGAGGAAGGTCCCTTGCAATCATTTTTATCCAACAAAATTTGAATGAAACGATTTAATTAAAGCTCCGTGCGTGACTGACACGACACCTACCGCCTTTTTCTGACAATTTTGGAGTCCCAATTTTCAGGTTAAACATATGACATATGTTTGACATTGTTAAATACATGCGAAATTGACAATTATTAATAAATTAGTTTTTTAACTATATTTTTTCAGTTTATGTACAAAATAAATGTAGTATTAAAAACTGGGTTTCTCAAAATTCATCATAATATATCTTTTCAACTCCAAACGTAAGAGAAAGGGAAAAATCTAGTACTGACAAATCAAGTTTTTCACGCAAAAGAGCATATAATTAAAAACAATAATAGTAAAAGTTATGATATAAAAGCTAAAGTCATCTGCAGTTAGCTTGAAGCCTTATGAAATATCATTCAAGGTACATTATTTAAATTTTTCCTATTTCAATTGCGTAAAAATGAAATTATGTGATATTTACTTTTTCATATTAATAGCAGGAATTTATCTTTTTCTTTTCTTTAATTTATATGTAATCTTTAGGAACCTATAAAAACTACACTCACTGTTTTTGCTATTATTAGCACAATTAAATACGCAACATGTATTTGCACACATTTTTGATAAAATTTATGCGTAAAAATATTTTGTCCAATATTCCAATTTTGTCATATTTCGCCGATATGCACGCTGGCGTCGTTTCAATGTACCCCTACCATGGTCACGCACGGAGCGAATACGGTACTCTTCTATTGCTATTGATTGAAAGGGTATTCAATTAACCAAAACCTTGAATGCTGTGTTGTGAATTCGTGATAAAATTAAGGAGGGTGAGTGGAAAGTTCTAAATCATAAGAATTTATCAACAGAAGTATTTAAATTTTAATAATTTCTTTATATAAATTAATGAAGTTACAAACTCATTATCT